CACCATGGCCACCCTGCCCCAGGGCTAGGAGCTGGTGGGGCCCGGGCCTCGCCGCTGAGGTGCGTGGGCTGTGCGGGCCCTGGGCTCTGGCTTTGGACTCAGACAGCATCGATTTCATTAACAGTGAGGCCTGCTGCCCGCGGTGGGCCAGGCACCCAGCCAGGCGCTGAGCCACTGTCCCAGCAGATGCAGAGTAGGGTGCCCAGGCTCTAGGAATGCAGCTTCTTGGGCCTCACCAGCCGACTGAGTCAGAACCTCGGGCTTTCACAGCCCTGTGGGGGTGCAGACACCACTCGGGCAGGAGACCTACCAGGGGCCTCACCTTGTATGCTGTCCCCGCAGGTCTGGGTCATTCTCGCTGACATTGTACAGGCGAGGCTTAGGGAGGTTTGTTCCTCTCCTGAAGTCTACTATGTCTCCTGACTCCAGGTCTTGCCCGTAGGGATGGAGGGGCTGGCCCTTATCTTTTGGATCAGGAGGTCAGGTGGCTGCAAGAGAATCCAGGGGGCACCTGCATGTGGAGGGGCACAGATGCCCACCTCTGACCATGCCTTCATGGGAGCATCTGGAAAGAGAGGGTGCCCCCCGCCCCCAAGGATCCACCTGCATCTGGGGTGGCTTTCTGTGAGGGGCCAGCACCAGCTCTGGGGTCGGGGTGAGAGTGCAGACGGGATGCAGTCCTTGCTTTGGGAGCCGTGCTGACTGGGACAGACCCTCCCAGTGTCCTGCAAGGACAAGTGGCCCGCGAGCACCACGCCATCTTCCCTTTGTGCTTAGCCATGCTGGGTTCTGTCTTTTCACATACAAGCTGCTTGGGGTGTTAGCAGCAACAGACATTGGGTTCAGCATTCTGCAGACGACAGTCAGATTCACAGAACAGCCACTGGGAACCAGCGACTTGGATTCAGCCCTTTGCCGCCCTCCTGCCCTGTCCATGACTTTGGGTTAGAGGGTCTCAAGCCATATCTGCACCATCCAGCACAGCCACCACCAGCTGCACGTGGCTACTGAGCACTTGGGGTATAGCTGGTACAACCAGGAACAAGTTTTAGGCTCTTTAATTTACTGTAACTAAGTATAAATTCAAATAGCTGCACATGGAGAGTAGTGGTCTTGCTGGACAGTGCAGGTGCGTAATCTCAGTTCCTCCATTTTTGTAAAAACTACATTATTGGGCAGTTGAGGGAGGGGAAGGAAACAACTTTGGCCAGGGGATGCTCTGGCTCCCACAGCCTCCCTTTGGGGAGGAGCTGTACCCCTCACTGCCCGTCCCTGTCCCGGGGCTGCTTGGTTCTTGCTCTTTCTTCCAGGCCTTTGCCAGGGGTGATGAGGCCAGGCCACCCAGGCGGTCATAGCAAGTCTGGTACCGAGTGTTTCTGTGCATCCAAACCCACTTTATTATAACTGATGTCAATTATGGAATCAGAGATATGTGTCCACTGGGGACAGAAGCTCAAATGCAGTGAAATTGCAAACCCTGGGCCAGGAGGCTTCACCCTCTGTCCCACTGTGCGCCACGAGGCCACACCCAGCACTCTGCAAGTGTACGCGGTAGTGTTGAGACCTGCAGCTGGATGTAGGTCACCCCCATTTCGCAGGTAGATAAGCTGAGTTCTGAGAGGTGAACTGACTTCCCCCAGGTCGTAGTGTAAGTACCAAAGTCGGCTGTAGACTTGGAGCTGCCTGATTCCAGGGAGCCCACACTCAAGGCCCGGTCAGCCCCGGCTCCTGCCCGCCCGTCTGCAGTGAGGGGTAGCTGGGAGGAGGTCGAAGCCCAGCAGGCAAGAGTGCGCGTGGACCGCCAGCCTGGACCTGGAATCCCCACTCTGCCTGTCCGCTCAGAACAAACTCGCGTTGGCCTCTGGTCTCCACGTTTATGCAGTATGCTTGTCTGCTTCCATGTCTGCAGGATGGGAAAATAATACCCCACTGGTGGGGTTGTGTGGATCCATTGATAGGACACAGACGAAGTGCCTTGATCCCCCTTGTTGAGACGAGTCCCTTATCACCCCTTTATCTGAGGGAGGAATTGGGGGTCTGCCTGCACATTTCACAGGGCGAGGTGCAGCTCCCAGCCTGATGACTCTGGGCCAGGGTGAGCAGGAGCTCACTGGGTGCAGGACAAAGGTTGACCTTCAAGCCTGGGTAGGACAGGCGAGCCCTGGATCCAGGCTTGCCTCGGGGTTCGAATCCCGCCCCTTCCACTTCCAAACTGTGTGTGCCCAAAGAGGGTGTATTTCCTTTCTAAGGGTTTAGTGACAATGTTGGTAGTAGTTACTGTTAACTGAGCATTAAAGACCTTCCAGCACTTGCATCAATTATTATCTCATTTAGTCTGCACAGCCCTCTTCCCCATTTTACAGATGAGGAAACTTAGGCACAGAGGGGTTAAAGGAAACTTTCCCAAAGCACAGATTCAGAAAGTGTGGGGCTGCCCGAGGGCTCCTAACCTCTCCCTGAACCCCCAAGGTCCCCGCACTTCACAGCCTCAACCAGACTATGGTCCTGGTGAACGTGGTGGCACATTCCTCTTTTTAAAAATACTGTGGTAAAATACACATAACAGAAATTTTACCATTACAGCCATTTTTCAGTGTGTATTTCATTGGTGTTAAGTATACTGTGTACAGCCATCAACAACGTCCATCTCCAGAACATTTTCATCTTCCCAGACCGACACTCTGTCCCTGTGGAACACCAGCTCCTCACCCCACCCCCAGCCCCTGGTCCTCGCCCCACTGTATTTCTGTGAACTTGACTACTCTAGGCACCTCGTGCAGGTGGGTTGTGCAGTGTGTCTTTTCATGATTGGCTTATTTCCCATGCATAATGTCCTCAAGGTCAACCGTGTTGGAGCACATGCCAGAATTTCCTTTCGTTTTTAGGGCTGAGTAATATTCTACTGTATGGATAGACCACATTTTAGATATCCATTACGCCTTCAGTTTTGAAACTTTTGTTTCCATCTTTGTCTCTAAGCTTCCTGTGGGGAGAAGGAGAGTGTCAGGGCATGGGCTGAGTCTCCTTCCTTCCCAGGGTGATCCTCAGCTTCAGGAGGTGGCCTGCCACCTGGGACTCCTTAGTGCCCCTGTCTCGGTGAGACCAGAGGCACCACTTTGGAAGGTCACAGCTGGGTGGGGTGGCCAGATTTAGCAAATAAAAATATAGGACGCTCAGGTAAATTTGAATTTCACATAATCAAAGAACACTCTTTTAGTAAAAGTATGCCCCATGTAATATATCCCCTAAAAAACTGTTTGATGTTTATCTGAAACTCACAGATTTAACCAGGCATCCTGTGTTTTAATTGAAAAGCCTGTCCCCAATCCTCACATAGAAGGGGCAGTAAGCTAAGGGTGAGATTTGGGGATGAGGTGTTGGTGTTTCAGTCTCTGCTGCAGTGAGTTGGCAGAGTGTGGTACAGACTCTCCGTTCTCCCCCCAAAAGCCCTTACCAGGGTGGGGAGCCCCCACAGTTGGTGGCCTGGTGCAGTAGTGACTCCCGCTGGTGACTGCAGTAGGCTGGGTTTATGCATGTCAGGAGCCATGCTGAGGCTCATTTAATTCCCACAAGGACCTACGGCATGAGGAGTTGTGGACCCATTCTGTAGATAAGGAAACCAAGGGTCAGAGAGATCTAGAAACTTGCCCAAAGTCACACAAGCTAATAAGGAGAGCATGAAACAAGCCTGGATCTGCTGATTTCCTTTTCATTTTTTCGTGGTAAGACGTATATAGCATAAAATTTACCATTTTAACCACTTTCAAATGTACAATTCAGTGGCATTAACTGCATTTGCAATGTTGTGCAGCCATCATCAGTATCTATTTCCAAAACTGGTCCATCGTCCCAAACAGAAACTGTACCCGTTAGGCAATAACTCCCCATCAGCCCCTGCCCCGCCCTGGCACCACTGTCTGTCTCTATGGATTTGCCTGTTCTGGACATTTTATAGAGATGGGCTGGCTTCTCTCACCTAGCATCATGTCTTCAGGCTCATCCGTGTTGCACCACGTGCGTCAGCACTTCATTCCCTTCTGTAGCAGAAGGATGTCCCGTTGGATGGAAGGACACATGGTGGGTATCCGTTCATCATTGGTGGACACTTGGGTAGTTTTCGCCTTTTTGGCTGTTGTGAACAGCACTGCTGTGAACATGAGCATGCACATTTCTCTTCAGTCCCTGCCTTCACTTCTTTTGGGTATATCGGGTCTGCCGATTTTAATGCCTAAGGCTGTCAGTCGCCACCCCTTCCCCATGCACTTGAATCTCTTCCATGGTGTCCCTGCTGCGTGGTCTTCCAAACTCTTCTTGGGTACCCCGGCAAGGGGAGGCCACTGCCTCTCCAGGCAGCCCATGCAGTGCCCAGTGGGGAGAAGCCCAGACCTGCGTCCCACCGTGCATCGGCCCTGGGGCCCAGGCGTGCTGCTTTCTCCTTCCTCACGACACCCGCCCAGCCTTCCTGGGGTCGGCCTCTGCCCAGGCGCAGGGCCCCCAGTTCATGCTGGTTCCGTGCTCCTTATTCTCCGTCACACGCTCTGACGCCTCCCTTTCCCCTCCCCGATTTCTTTTTTGTTTTTTTTTCTTTTTTTTAAAAGATGACCGGTAAGGGGATCTTAACCCTTGACTTGGTGTTGTCAGCACCACGCTCAGCCAGCGAGCTAACCGGCCATCCCTATATGGGATCCGAACCCATGGCCTTGGTGTTATCAGCACCGCACTCTCCTGAGTGAGCCACAGGCCGGCCCTCCCCTCCCCGATTTCTAAGAGAGAGAATGAAATCCAACTGTGGGAAGCAGGACAGAAGTTTCTTTAAAAGCCACCATCAGTGTTATAAATTATAAAAACTCGCCGTGGTCCATCAGGCTGATGTCGCCTCACCAGGTTTCATCAAGCTCGAAAGTGCAGGCGCAGAAACACGGACACTCCCTCTTTATGTTCCCTCCCCCGTCTCCTCGGTCCCGGGAGCTCACCCCTTTCTCCTTTGTCTCCCCAGGGACGTACCAGGGCCAGTGGGTTGGTGGCATGCGCCAGGGCTACGGCGTGCGGCAGAGTGTCCCCTATGGCATGGCAGCAGTCATCCGCTCACCCCTGAGGACATCCATCAACTCTCTGCGCAGTGAGCACACCAACGGCACGGCGCTGCACCCGGACGCCTCCCCGGCGGTGGCCGGCAGCCCGGCCGTGTCCCGGGGGGGCTTCGTGCTCGTGGCGCACAGCGACTCCGAGATCCTCAAGAGCAAGAAGAAAGGGCTGTTCCGGCGCTCGCTGCTGAGCGGGCTGAAGCTGCGCAAGTCCGAGTCCAAGAGCAGCCTGGCCAGCCAGCGCAGCAAGCAGAGCTCCTTCCGCAGCGAGGCGGGCATGAGCACCGTCAGCTCCACGGCCAGCGACATCCACTCCACCATCAGCCTGGGCGAGGCCGAGGCCGAGCTGGCCGTCATCGAGGATGACATTGACGCCACCACCACCGAGACCTATGTGGGCGAGTGGAAGAACGACAAGCGATCGGGCTTCGGCGTGAGCCAGCGCTCGGATGGGCTCAAGTACGAGGGCGAGTGGGCCGGCAACCGGCGGCATGGCTACGGCTGCATGACCTTCCCCGACGGCACCAAGGAGGAGGGCAAGTACAAGCAGAACGTGCTCGTCAGCGGCAAGCGCAAGAACCTCATCCCGCTGCGGGCCAGCAAGATCCGCGAGAAGGTGGACCGGGCCGTGGAGGCGGCCGAGCGGGCGGCCACCATCGCCAAGCAGAAGGCTGAGATTGCGGCTTCCAGGTAGGAGGGCGAGGGGGCGGCCACGGCCTGGTGGGGCTGACTGATCTCAGTCACTTGGTGGGGGGTTGCGGGCCTGGTCTGGTCAGTCACACGGTCCCTTGAGGCCTTGAGCTGTGCCCAGTTTGAGGCTGACACTGGCGCTTCTCAAACTATACCCCAGGGAACCCTGGAGTTCCTTGGAAGTCTCAGAAGTAAGTGGCCATGGACAGGGGTGGGGCATGAGGGGTTCTGGACCTACAGATTCTCTCCCACACAGACCAGCGTCTCTTTTATCTGTTCCACATGCTGGTGTCTAACGTGAAATGCTGATGGGTAGAGCAGGTGGTCTGTTCTGTTGGCGCAGTGCTCCACGGGCAGCTGCTGGCTCACGTGAGGCTTGGTGCTTTTGGCCACCAGCACCCTGAATGGGCTTTGGGATCTACTGAATTCGGGGTTTGGCACAGACATCAGACCCTAAGAAAGGGGTCACAGGTGACCATAGTGGGTGCCTTGTGGATGACAAGGTGTCTTTAGGTGTTGGTATAGGTGGTTCCGGGCCAGAGGAGACTGCAGAGGTGGGCACATGAGCCTCCCAGCCAGGCTGGGGGTGGCAAGGGGCCGCAGAGGTGTGGGAGCCGCTGCTGCAGGCTGGGGAGGTTGTTCTGGGGAAAGCCTGGGCCCCACAGGTGGACCCCGGGCTCTAAAGTAACTGAGTCACTCGTCGGCTTTATCAAGGCTTCGGAAGGCGTTTTGGGAAACGCAGCCTCTGCTTCCTGCCAGCGCCTGCTTCTGGTCAGGGTGGGGTCACCAGGGTCTGCCCTGGGAGGCCTCTAGGAGGACATTTCCCTGCGTCTTTCTTGATGCTTCTATTCCCAGCCTGGAGCAGGCCTGGAGTTCTCCCAGGAAAGCTTCCAGCGCAGTTATGGCTCAGCCCTCCCGACCTTGTCGCTAATTAAAGTGCTAAAAGTAACTTTTAAGAAATATCTCAATGAACACTGTATACTCCAGATTAAACTATTGTTAACATGTTGCCACACACACATGCACAAAAAACTTAGCCCATTTGGTTCTGATTTCCAGTGATCTTTGATCTACAGGGAAAGTGCCAAATCGATGGCTGTGGGTTGCTGGCAGAACACCTGTGGCTCACAGCGTCCGTGGTTTTAGAGAAAACCAGATCCATTCCCAGGAGCCAAACAGAAGGAAAATGGCATTACTACCCGAGTATGGAGGTCCCAAAGTGCTCTGACCGCCCCCTTCTAACTCCCCCAGGAATGTTCGGGCAGGGAAATAAATAGCAGCGTGTATGACTACTCACCTGGTATTTTAAGAACAAATTAGGTTCAATAGTTATTTTTCCATCATAAATGTAACACTTGCTCCATGTAAGAAAATTGGAAAATGATACTTAAGAGGAGGAAAGCTGCGTTGGCTGTGGTCTGACATATCATCTGAGAGTCCTTGGCATTTTGGCGAATCTCCTTCCTTCCAGTTGTTTTGTTGTGTTTTCCGACCCTGTGTATTTTGGTTTTTTGACCCAGTGGACAAGAGGCAGTTTGTGGGGCCAGGGACAGTGGGGTCAGAGATGGCAAGACGCTCAGGATGGCTCCCGCCTGGCGTGAAGGTTGGTCCTCAGCTGAGGGCTTGTAAGACAGAAGCACAGGGATTTCCTGGACAGTGCGTGCTCCACAGGACCGACTTGAGGGCCCCGTCCCCAGGTGAATGTCTTTAGGACTGAGGATGTGGGCACAAAACAGTTTTCAGACCCCATGGGATGTGAAGGAGCAGGATATGCTGCCAGCAGAGCCGGGCCAGTACGTGAGGAGGTCCCTGGCAAGGTTGTCACCTCTGTGCCTTAGTCCCTCATCTGTGAAGCGGGAGGAGGCCCAGGAGGCTCACGTGGTCACAGCTTCATTTGTGGCTGGCTCCTGCCCCTCGGGGTAGGGGTGCTGATGTCCCACACGTGTGAGAGCATGGGGCTGGGGGAGGCTCTGACATAGGAGTGGCCTCCATGACTGGGAGAAACCGAGAGGCTGGGCCCGGAAGGGACAGAGACACAAAGAAGTTGGGTCCAGCTCAGGTGACTGGTAAGTCACTAGCCCGTCATGGCATTGGCTGGTGGCCGGCCTGGGTGTGGCACAGCTCCTGGGGCCTCTCCTGTGTTTTATCTGCTGGACAGAAGGACAGATGGATGAATGGATGGGTGGGCGGATGGACCCCAGGAGAGAGGGAAGGCGGGAGCCCGTGCGTGTGTGTGCACAGCTGCAGACGCCCTGGCAGAGCCCCCTCCCCATTCGTCCACTGAACCTCTGTAGCCACCCTCAGCCCCACTGGCCAACCCCGGCCCCAGGCTTGTCTTTTGCACACACGGTGTCGCCAAGTAGACTCAGTCCTGTCGCAGGTGCTGCAGGTGCCAGAGAGAGTGAACGACTGGGGTTTTGCAGCCTGGCCCCTGTGTGAGAAAGGGCCTAGCTGCACACACGCACACCACACACACATCCTCACACTCACTCACATGCGGACATGGGGGCTGGGTGCATCTCCTCCCAGGTCACCAGAACATCCTGAATTGCAGAGTCTGGCACTTACAGTGTGAGGGAGGAGGCGTCAGGCCTTAACTGGGGAACCCGCTTCCTGGAGTCTGGCCTCCAAGACCCCAGGCCATGTCCAACCCGGGCCCTTGCTGCTGAGCGACCTTGGCAGGTTGCTCACCCTCTCTGGGCCTGGGTTCCCCCTTGAAGGAGGGGATTGGGCTCCATGCTCCATGCAGTGCCCTTGGTGTGGGACCTGGTACATGGGGACACCAACGTTGGTGCAGCTGTCACCCCAGCCCTGCCCTGCGCCAGCGTGTCCACAGGCAGCTGCATGTGTGAGCTGCAGCCAGGCCTCCTAGTGCCCAGAGTCACAGGCAACACAGTGTCCTGGGTCACTACAATGGCGAGCCTCTATTCCAGGCTGCAGCCCAGAGCTGTGTTTCCTACATTTTCTCAATGGGCTTAGAATTTGGAAAAAAGAGAGAGAGAGAGAGAGAGAAGGGAGCAGAGGCTGTTGTCCTCAGGACGGAAGCCGTGATGGATGGCTGGCTCAGCGGCCCTGAAGCCCCGGGGCTGACCCTCCACTGGAGCATGAGAGCAGCCAGCGAGGGGCGGGCTGAGGTCACTGTCACAGCGAGAGAGACGGCGGGGGAGTGGCGGGGCTGTGTCACTTTGCCCTCGCCTGGGCATGGCCATGCCTGTCCAACTGGGTGAGCTGAGAAAGAGGTTGCTTTGTCCTCACTGGAGCTCGTAGGGACGGCTGCAGTGAGGGCAGGGGACATGAGCTTTCCTGGAAGATGGGGCAGTGGGGGGTGCATGGAGCTGGAACCCTGAGGAGGGTGCCATTGTTGCCACCTCGCAGAGGGGAGGACTAAGGCCCAGAGCTGCTAAGGGGACTGGCCCATGTTCCCACAGCTAGGAGCAGGGAGCTGGGGGTCCTCCTTAGGCCTGGTTCTCAGCCCCTCACCATGCACTGGAATCACCTGGGGGATCTAGGCAGGGATGCTGTGGTCGCTGTCTGGGCTTTTGAGTCTTTTGAGCTCCCCAGGTAGTTGCATGGTGCTGCAAGGTTGTACGCGCACACATGGCCGGGCCCCAGCCCCATCTGTCCCAGCTGGTCTGGGGCCTCCCTGATGCTGGAGCCCTTGATCTGGGAACCCCACGCTTCTCTCAGTCCTCATGGGTGCTGGGTCAGGTGGCCCACCACGGAGACGAGCCATGGGAGACGAGCCATGGGAGACGAGGGCTGTGTGGGACCCTCTGCTGCAGAGAAAGGAGTGGGTTGAGACACTGTGCTGGGGTCAGCCAGAAAGGGCTGCTGTTTGCCCCGTGCCTTCCTCCTGTGTGTCCTTCTCACCTTCTGGGGACTGCCACAAGCATGTGGCTATGACGGGCTCCACCTGCTGTGTCCCCTAACAGCGGTCCTGGGAAAGGGGGTGGGCGCAGAGGACGCAGGCCTGTCCTCCCCTCCTGTGCTCAGTGTGTTTGTATGAAGCCTCCCGCACCAGGTAGGCAAGCGGGTCGCCTCCATGCTGACCAGGCTGCCTCTTCTGATCCCCCCGCCCTTTGCCCACGGCAGACATGACCATCCGGTCAGAGTCCTCCTAGCAGCCCCCGTGGGTCTGGAAGTTGAAATGGAACCACCGTCCTTGATCTGCTGTTCACCAGAGTACCAGCTCACAGCTGCTGGAATCAGAACACAAACACGTCACCCACGCTAGAGGTGCAAGAGGACCGACGGTTGTCGCACATTCCATTTCAGCAGCAGAGCCCCTCTGCCATGCAAGCTATCACGGCCCCCAGGGTAGAAGCCAGAGGAAGGCAGGGACGCTCCAGTGGAGGCTGAGCAGGGGCAGGGACGGGGGCAGCCTGGCAGCGTTCACCCTTCCCCACCCCTGCCCTCCCGGGGGAGGAGTGTCTGAGGCTGCGTCCAGGTTCCGTGCAGAGGTGCTGCCCCCACCCGCTGTGTCTGCTGAGGGTGAGGGAAGAGGGTACAGCCCATGCAGGAGTCATGAGAACCTGGCAGGGTCGCTTCTCCTGAGCCACTCTCTCTGCCTGCCTGTGACGCAGCATGTAAACGTTGCTGTGAGGAGACCCAGAGGGTTTGCAGAGCAGTAGCACAGCAGGAGCAGGAGGGATTATGATGAACTGACCTTCATTCTGTTGGAACAGGGACCCCACCGGGCCAGCGGTTTGTGTCTGTTCTGTTCACTCTGAATCCCAGGGCCTGGACCAGCGCGTGCCATGGGGTCTCTGCTTGGTCACTGTGTTCTGAATGAATGAGTGAGTGAATGAATGATTGCTTAGGCCCCACTTTCTTTATCAGGGGCTGCATAGCTGCTTCTTTTGGTGTGGGGGACCAAGAGGGGGACGGGGGCCACGGCTGCCATGAGGCAGGGGAACTCTGGGCCAACTTGCAAGGCGGGCGAGGGACTTGGGGTGGCCACGCCAGAGCCATGTTCCCACAGGACCCTTCCTGCTCCTTGG